AAGTATATGATCCTAAGGAGCAACACCTGAGATTTTCCTCTAGAATGCCATGCATGTGCACACACATACACACACACACACACACACACACACACACACACACACACCCCAAACGCAGGCATCCTTCTCTCATTTCTGAGGTACAGTTTTATCACTGAGTTGTGCTATTTGGTGATATTTGCATGTGCCATCCTTTGTTGACTAAACTGTTGCTACGCACAGTGCAGGCCATTATTATAATCTTTTCAATAAAGAATCTGATGTGAGGTGAAAGATATCACATGGCAATTATGGCTACCAAATCTTAAGTAGCCTATAGGCATGATCTTGAGCAGCCCCAAGGAAGGGTGACGTTTGGTGGGCTTTCTCAGAGGCCGAGTTTGAAGAGGGCAGCTCCAGGGTTGGGTCTGGGGCTTGGAATGGGAGGAGTGAGACCTGAACGTGTAATGGGATCTCAAGCTGAAGATCCCAAACATTACTGAACTTTGATAATTGCAAAAGGAAAGGCAATAATGCTGATGAAGGAAATAAGTATTTCCATAGTAGTAAACAAGGACCTGGGTATCCCGAATCTGAACCGTATATGAGACTCAGAAAAGAACCATTCTTGAGAACTGATAATGAGCCACAATAGATATCAAACATGGTTTTTTTTTTGTATAAAATAGCAATCTTTTTTATTTTTTGTCTTTCTTAAAGACCATATTAGGTTTAGGGCATTGGCTCAGTAAAGTTCTTGTCACACAAGAATGGGGGCCTGTGTTCAGATCCCCAACACTCCACATAAAAAGCTGGCCTTGTGTCCTTGTAATTCCCGAGCTAAAGAGGCTGAAATGGGGCCATCTCTAGGACTTGATGATCTATCAATCTAGTTGAATCAGAGAGCTCCAGGTTCAGTGAGAGACCTCAAAAAATTAAGGTGAAGACCTCCTGAGGAAGAAAGACAACAGATGTTAACCTCTGGCCTCCACATGTATGCACATAAGCACACACACACAAACATGTATACACATGCACAATAAAAAAGTAAGAGTGGTGTGGGACTATTGTCTGTATTCTGTCAATTATGTTTTAAATAAACGTTGATTGGCCAGTAGCCAGGCAGGAAGTATAGGTGGGACAACCAGGCAGGAAGTAGAGGCAGGTCTAAGAGAACAAGAGAATTCTGGGAAGAAGGAAGCCCATTCCTCGGCAGTTGTGATCCCAGCCACAGAAAAAGCAAGATGTGACTACCCCACTGAATAAGGTACTGAGCCACATGGCTAACAAAGATGAGATTAATGGGCTAATATAAGTTATAAGAGTTAATAAGAAACCTGAGCTAGTGGGCCAATCAGTTTATGATCAATGTAGACCTCTGTGTGATTTCTTTTGGGATTAAATGGCTTGGAGGTTGGGTGAGAAAGAAACTCAGTCAACATAAGACAAAATAAAAATTTGAAAAGGACATTTCACCATGATAGTATGATGTCGTTTTTAAAGGAAATGCTAGCTTTGTATTTTAAAAAAACCAAACAAATAAATAAAAGTGGGCTGTGGATAAAGTGCAGTTGGTAGGACGCTGCTGAGAATGCCTAAAGCCCTGGGTTTGATTCCAAGTAAAACATAATTAGGATGTGGTGGTGTACACTGTATTCCTAGCACTAGAGAAGTAAAGGCAGACTGATGAAGAGTTCAAGTCCATCCTTGACTTCACAGTGAGTTCCACACCAGTCTGGGCTACACAAGGTTGCCTATAAACAATGTGATATGAATCTCGAGTTTCTTTGACAGAAATCTAGAGTGAGCATTTCCTTTTTTCTCTTGCCCATAACTATATTGCTCCTTATGGGACTAGAACTTCGGTTTTCTTTTTTGTTGAATGGCCCCTCTCTAGTACTTCGTCTCCAAAAGTATATAATTGACCATGATGATTCTGAATGTGTTGGTGAGAAACGACTCCAAGGGGTTATTGGAAAATAAGTGCATTGTTTGCCCTGGAAAATTAGATAAAGGATGATATAGTTGAACACTGGGTATGATGATTCAGTTTTGTCCTTTTGGTTGTGGCCTAGCCTTTAATAGATGGGCCATCTCGCCAGCCTTTGTTGGTTACTTTTGTCAGCCTGACACAACCTAGAAATACCTGTGAAAAAGAGTCTCACTGAGGGATTATCTAGATCAAGTTGGATATTATTTGTCTTGATTGCCTTAGTTGATGTGGGACCATCCAATCTTCAAATGGGTGGCATCATTCCTTGGTTTGGGCCTTGGATCATCTAAAAATGGAGAAACCTAACTTGACTGTGAATCTGATGTGGCTAGCTGCTCTAGGCTCTTGACCTAGTCATAGTGAACTCTAACCTGCTCTTTCTCTGTCTCTCTGTCTCTCTCTTCCTTCTAAGTCACTCCTGTCGGGGTATTCTACCACAGTAACAGAAATGAAACTGGGTACTAGGGAAAGAGGGCAATGAAGGAAGAAAGAACTACTCAAGTACAGACAGAGGGAAGGGGATAGCATTACTTACGATACTGTCTGCAGTCCTGAGTCCAGAGCTCCCTGTTGGTACCCATCCATAGACTTTCTAGTTCTTATACCAAGTGCATTCCTTTCCTTAAAGTCTTCTTAGTATGAATTTTTGACAGTTGCAAGGAAAGACTCAGGATTAAAGCATAAAAGAATTTCATTTATTGCACATAGCAAAATGTCTAGAAATCCTCTTTTCCCATCTCTCAGTATCTTCATCACTTGGAATGACAGCTGTGCTAAACCCTAATGTCACTCTCAAAGCTCCCAGGAAGTCTTCACTCTTAAAGTCTAGCCTCTCCCCACCCCCATTCTTGGCTCTCTTACTCTCCCCATTTCTTCTTTAAAGGGAAACAAAATCTTTGCCAAACCTCATAGACTGCTGTCAAGGTTCCTTTTGTTTCTCTGTTCCCTACCTAGATCAGCAGAATTAATGCCTGTTTGGACAGCAAATGACCCCTCCTTTTAGAAAGGTTGAAAGATGGGAGATTGCTTTGTTCTGGTCTCATTTGTATTCTGAACAAGTAAGTGTTTACTTGGACATTAATTCTATTTGCAGATAACTATGTCTGGAAGGGAGTCCCTTTGAGTAACTTTCACTATGATTTTGCCTTGGGTTGTTTTAGTGATCTTTTTGTTTTGTTTTTCTAAGGTGGGGAGGGGAGGAATCAAACCAGGCAAGCTTTTTGTTTTCACAAGCCTGAGAAATAAATGGTTAGATCCTGGATTGAGGACAAGCTGCTCTGTTGTGCTAGTGGTAATTTAATGACCAAAGCCCTTTTTGTCTTCTTCAGAAGCACTGTTTGGTTTTTCTCCAGAAACAGCTGGAGACTCTCCATTGATGGCTGCCTCACTCAGCAGCTTCTTCACAGGCACTTTTATCAGATGCTGTCCCTCCCAGGAATTTAGGCATGTCCTGAGAATCTTGACCCCTTCAGAAGCAGCCTGCTGCAGCTGGGAGAACAGGAACACTACTGTGGGAGGAGAGAGAAATCTCCCTCTCTGAGTAGCACAAATTTCTCCTGAGTTGATACTTGGGTGGTTCTCAGCCCTTTTGTGAACTCATTGCTAACAAGGGGTCAGATTCTTTTCTTGGGGCTCGTCAAACTATTGTTGGCATCCATAGGCTATGGGACTATAGATATTGTCTATAGATAGACACAATAGATATTGACGTCTCAGAAATCCATCAAGATGGTTATAGGAGACATTTCATCTTCTAGAACTAATTAATCAACCAACCAACTTAGGCTAGGACTAAACCCTAGGCTTTTTACATGCCAGGCAAGCATTCTATCACTGAACTAAATTCTCAGTCCTATAATTTTTTTTTTTTGAAACAAGAATCTTTCTACGTAACTGAGGCTGGCCTTGAGATCAATATCCTCCCATTCCAACTTCCAAGAGCTGACATCACCACCACCCCACTGGGCTCCCAAGTTTTTATAGTATTGCCAACCTCAGTGAACTAAAATCCTGAATAAAGAGGATATATAATGTCCTGAATAAAGAAGTTGTTATTAAAAGGTTTGTGCACCGTGTGCGCACTTGTGTGTGTGTGTGTTACTTAAAGAAAACCTCTGGAGCCATCCAGACTTGAAGGAGGAAGACAGCCAGTGTGTAACACAAATCTCTATCAGAGCATTCTGAGTTTCAGATGAAGAACAGATGGTTAACAGAATAGCTCTGTTTCCCATGTGTCTCACACCTGCCCATGCTACCCAAAAGCTAGAGGACAGACAGTTCGCCTTCTCCATCAAGGCGAGTCCTGACTCACAGAGAAGGATGGAAACGGATCTGAATGGACTGAAGAAATTCAGGCAGGAGAAGCTTATCTTTTTTTAAATATTTATTTATTAAGTATACAATATTCTGTCTGCATATATGCCTGCAGGCTAGAAGAGGGCACCAGATCTCATTACAGATGGTTGTGAGCCACCATGTGGTTGCTGGGAATTGAACTCAGGACCTTTGGAAGAGCAGGCAATGCTCTTAACCGCTGAGCCATCTCGCCAGCCCCGGAGAAGCTTATCATTTATCCACAGGTTTTAAGGGATTGTATTCATTTAGATTGAGGCTTGGGGTATATAAACATTTATACTGTCAAGACTTTCCCCCGCCTTACAGAATCCTTGGTAAAACGCCCAAAAGAACTCAAGGATACCCCCAAACTCTTCTTTCCTGAGGTTTACCGATGCTGGACATCTTTTAAATATCAAGGAATCAATTTTAGTTCTTACAACCAGGTAGAAATGAATGAAGACTGCCTCCCTGTGCCTTCCCAGAAGACTATGACGCCCTGGCTGGTAGTGGAGTGCTTCTAAGTCTTCCCATCCCCATCCCTCACCCCCAAGGGCGTTGGCAGCTTCCATCGCCTGGGGCTCTCACGCCTCTCGGGGAGGGCCAGTCCCTGGGTCTAGGCAGGCGTCCTGGTGGTCTCCAGCGGGTTTCCACTCCTGAGGAGGCCGGGATTGGGGGTTGGGGCGGCAAAGAGCGCAGGCGCAGTGCCCGCGTCTGGCGCCCCTTTCCTTGCTGGTCGCCCCTGGCAGTCCAGGCTGCAGTGGTCCCCACCGAGCGTGCGGTGGCCTCAGCTGGCTAGGGAGGCCAAACCGGGAGCGCGGCTCGGGGAGAGTCCGCTAGAGCCCAGGGATCATCCGCTTTGCCGTGACTTGCAGGTAACCGACTCGGCGGGTGGGCAGCAGCGGGCGGTGCAGGACTCTGCCTGCTTGCGGGTTGGTCCCGCCGGGAAGAGGGCGCGCAGCGAGCCCAACTCCTCTCCGGTAGAGAGCCTCACTTGGGGAAAGGCAGGCTGGCGTCAAGCACCCGCCTACTTGACAGATCTCCGTGGGGCGCGCGTCTCTGCGGGACGTCCGAAAGGCCACCCAGTGCCCACTTCTCCCTACTGCTGTCCTGGAGAATGGGAACAGCGGCTTGATAAAGTCAGCATCAGCCCGCGGCCTCATCCCACCCAGGTCCTGACACCGTTGCTTGTGGGAGCCCTTCCCCAGTCCGCATGATGAAGGTCAGGGGTGTTGTCCCTCCTCTGGCCCTCCGGAGCCCATATTATCTCGGCGAGTGCTTGTGGCGTCATAGAAACGGTTTCAAAGGCAACTTTCAAAAATTGCTGGGTGGTTTTAGGAGTCTGACTGAGATTTTACATTTTCCATCACTTTCCTGTGTCTAAGAGTCTTAAACTCCAGTGTAGATGGACTGAGATTTTCGTGATTGTAGAAATCTTGTTTCGAGAGAGGAACGGGGAGGAAGGGCCCGACCGTGGCCGAGTGTAGAGGTGGAGGTTCAGGGAAGTCAGTTCCGCCTCATCCAGTCACGGAAAAGAAAATGCGGATTTTCTTGACGGAATTGGTTCTGGGGTTAGAATTTTACGCAGCGTGTGTTCATTTGGTTTATTAGAGGGAGAAGAAGGGTCGCGAGAAATGACAGGAAGGACACTCATACTGGGGCAGCTGGGGGCGCTGCGCACATCCACGTCATTGCCCAGGCTGTCATCAGGCGCTAGGTACTGGAGCAACTTCCCCTCCCAGTGAGGATTAAGGGGTCCAGGACAGTCTCACACTAGGCGGGGATGGTGAGGGAGTGGGTCTGGAGGGGCCCTGTGTGCAGGCTGTTCTACCCGTAAAGGACTTTGAGCAGAGTTGACGGTGTCCGTGGTGCTGAAGCTCCTTATTCCCTCCTCTAGGATTTCCTGGGCGCACGCCAGCCATAGTTTCCTGTTTTGCACCTTTGCCCAAAATAACCTATCGCCAAGGCAAGCGGACAGGACAGAGCCGGCCAGACACTGAAGCCCTTTGCAGATGGGTTGAGCCTGACCTCCTGAGGGTAGCACTGCAGGGAAATGTGGTTTACCCTGGAGGAAGCGATAAAGCATATCTACAGCTTGTTTGATTGCCTAAGCGAAAGTGTGCACTGCGAGCAAGCACACACCTCGTGCGTGTGTAGGATGTGTGTACGAGGACATGCACACAAGCGCAATGCCCGTCTCTTTTCAGAGCCACCATGAACTACAAGGCACACATTTCCCAGAATCTTTTGTAATCCATCTTATTTTCTGACAACTCTTTAGTTTCTGGACTCTATTGCACCATTAATTTTCATAATCATCTGTCCCAAAGGCACTGTGCCTGTAGATTGAAGTACTTGGTGCATGGCTAAGCAACTAAGTATTCACACACATTTAAGTTCCAAAGAATGCTGTACTAGAGGGACTGGGAGCATAGAGCATGCAAGAGACCTTATGTGGGCTCCTCAGTGCCACAAAAAATATAAATAAATAAATAGAAAGAAAAGAAAAAGAAAGCATGATTATTCAAAAAAAATTAGGTAATAAAAAGTGTATAAAATCAGAAAAAATTGAAAACAGGTTTGCTGTTATATGAGCACATGTGCACTTTAGACGGACTATTCTTTGTTGTGTTTTAACTAACGCAAAATTGTTTTGCCTTAGACTCCAAATTGCCGGGATTAGATAGGATTATGGATATGTGCTACCAAGCCCAGCAAATGTCATATATTTTTCTTTTAGACAGATTTTATATAGCCACAGTTGGACTAAACACTTGATATGTAGACAAAGAGGACCTTAAATTCCTACTCCTCCTGCCCTCACCTCCCTAAAGGTGAGATTACAAGCATGCACTACCATGTCTGGCCTAACACCATCCTTAAAATAAATTATTGTAAGCATGGAATGAGAGAGATGTCTCGGCAGCGGAGAGTGCTTGCCTTTTGTGCAGACGACTTGTTTGATTCCCAGCACCTGTACTGTATCTTACAACTCTCTGCAGTTCCAATTCCAGATGCTCTATGCCCTCTTCCATCCTTAGAGGGCACCGGGCATGCACATGGAGCACGTACAGCCACACAGGCAAACATTCATACATATACTATAAAAATCAATCAATCAATCAATCTAAGGGGGAAGTTATGGTAAAGTACATGAATTCTATCTTCTCAGAGATTAAAATGCATTAAGTAGATGATAGTGCATGAGTACTGACTAGACACACAATGTGCAGTGCTTCCTGGATTCATTCATTTGACTGAAACTTCATGCATATAAATTAGTAACTCCCTATTTCTCACTACCCTCCCACCCCTTGGTAAGCACCATTCTACTCTTTTCTATGACTTTGCCCATTTTATATACTCCATGTAAGTGGGATCACACAGAATTTGTGATTGACTTATTTTTATTTAGCATAATATCTCAAGTTTCATTTGTATTCTTCCAGGTGATGGAATTTCTTTTTAAAGGCTTAATATTATTACTTTGTATTTACATATACTCCATTTAAAAAAATCCATTCATGTATTAATGGATACTTAACTTGTTCCATTCGATATAACATCTTTGAACAAACACACGCTTGTTTAATTACAATCTTTTTGTTTTGTTTTGTTGTTTTTTGAGACAGAGTTTCTCTTTGTATCCTTGGCTCTCCTGGAACTTGCCCTGTCGATCAGGCTGGCCTCAAACCCACAGAAATCCTCCCGAGTGTTGGGATTAAAGATGTGTGCAACCACTGCCAAACTAATTACATTATAATCTTATAACAACATTCTAGAAGTAAAATTTGTTGTTCAAAGGATGGATATTTTTGTTTTTTGATTTATTAACTGGTTCAAATATTTATTTCCTTTCTTTTCCCCCTTAAGCATCTACAAAAGCACCACATTTAAGGAATATTTATTGGGCAAACACTATTCACAAATTGTGCCTTGAAAAGTAGATAAATATGCCAAGTGGTAGTGGCCCATGCCTTTAATCCCAGCACTCAGGAAGCACAGGCAGGTGAATCTCTGTGAGTTCAAGGCCAGCCTTGGCTACAAAGAGAGTTCCAGGACAGCCAGGAGCCCCCCTCCCCATCCTTTCACCAAAATCAGGATTTATAAATTTTCTCAAGGTATTTTCTAATTAGACAGACAAAAAAGAAAATTTGGTCATTTATTCATTACCAGTATTTCTCATTTTATGACTTGCTAACTCATATCTTTATTTTTCTATTGGCATGTTTATTTATTTTAACTCATATAAGCTCTTTGTATACTATTGGATTCTGTTTGTTGTACTTTTGAGACAAAGTCTTACGCACTCTGCTGCCCTGGCTCACCTAGAACTTCCTTTGTAGACTACACTGACCTTGAAAGCAAGAGATCTGCTACGTGAGAACCTGGGATTGAAGGCCTGTACCATCACATTTTTTCTTTTTAATTTTGTAAATAATATTCTGTACAGAAATTTTCAATATATATATATATATATATACACATAGATATTTAAATTTCTATTCAAGCCGCTTTTTTGCCTTATTTTTGAAACAGGGTCTCTCCTTTAACTTGGAGCCTACCAACTGGCTAGACTGGCTGACTAGTGAGCTCCAGGAATCCACCTGTCTTCCCTCTTTCCCCTCAGTACCAGGGTTATTATATGTGCTACCGGTGGGCTTTTATGTGCTGCTGGGGACCTGAACACAAGTCTTCATGCTTGCTCAGCCAGCACTTCATCGACTGGGACATCTCAGTGTATACTAATATGCTTCATTATATTTTCTGGCATTATGTCAGCCTTGCATTGCTCTATGATAAAGGTAATCCCCATCAGTCTCTCTGATAGTGAGATTACAAGCATGCACCTGTTTCTATTGGTCTTCATATCTAAATATCTTCTCATGGGCACATCATTTGAAGTTTCAAACCAATGATTCATTTAAAATTTGTAAAAAAGATACTTTAAAAATTAGATTTATTCTCTCATTTCCTTTTAAAATTCAGTCCATTACTAGTTGTAAATTCATTTGTAGATTAAACAATAAAAATAATTTTACATTTCTAATATACACAAGTCCTGGGTTTGAGTGACAGAGCGAAAAGGAGTTAAAGAGTATTGATTTCTAATCCATCTATGCATATGTAGAACTATACTTTAGAGTATTTTTTTGTTATCATCAAGAAAATGTGTCTAAGTACACTGATTAGTCAAAATGGGAATGTATGTCAGTATATTTCTTACAAGAGAGCTACCCATGCATAAGAATGTATACACAGAAGGTTCATCAAATGTCCTTTGACAACCCTCTGTTATGAATCGATGTAATGTCCAAAACAAAAGAATGATTATTTGAGTATTGATAAACTATTCTGTATTATTTTCTTTCTAGGGTTTAAAATCATTTTGAAACAGACAAATGAGAATAATAATTTTTTAAATATTTGCTTCTTCATTGGGGGAGGGGGCCACAGCACCTGTGTTAGGGGACAACTTGCAGGAGTTGGCTCTCTCCTGCTGTGAGCCCAGGAATTGGACCTCAGGTTGTCCAGCTCAACAGCCCTGGGGATAGAAACCTCAGGTTTTTACAGGATATCTTTTAAAAAAAAGCTGACTAGGAGAAATAAGATCAGGCTATAAAATGAAATTCTGCTAGTCAGTGAAGCTCTGTAGGCACCGTCACAGAGAGCTTGAAATGAATATTTTCAGATTATTACATTGATAAGAGTGAATGCAACATTCAGACACATGAAACATAAGTAGGGTCATAATATATATTTTTCTGCTTTGTTGTTGTTGTTGATTGGTTGACTTTTTGAGGCAAGGTCTTGACTCTGTGGCCAGACGGGCCTTGCCCTCTCTAGCTCCCTGGCTCAACCTCCTAGGTGCTGAGATTGTAGTCATGTGCCCTCTTGATTCTACTTTTCATATATAAATGTTTTTTCATCAGAACATTATTTTAAGATTTCAGACAACATTTTATATACATTTAGATTACTGGCAGCTTAATATAACTTACTGTGTGTAATAGTGCTGTTTCCGCATGCTAAATTCCTAAGAGCTGATGTTCACACCGCATTGCAGGAGACAGTACACAATTTCTGGAGTCTCACAGCACACCTCGTCTTTCTCGCCTCAGTGACAAAACACACGGCAGTATCACTACACAACTTTACTGGACTTCTCACCTTAAGAACCTGAGGAACGAAAGAAAATACTTGCTGGTCCATTTTTCTATTATGTACTGACTTTATCTTGGTTCTAAACAGGGGTGAAGGTCTGGAGGGAGAGTGAGTGAGGCTTTTAAAAATGGTGGAGGACGACTGTCAGACTCTCTTACTGCTTTTTGGGTTCCTTTACCTCAAGAGCCAGGAGACATGAGAGTCAGACTGAAGAACTATGGACAACCTTCTGCGTCAGCTAATGTGATCAAGGGTTAAAGGTCTACAACGAAGCGGGGACTTTCCTCAGAGACAGCCAACTAGGCCAGAAAGCGCCTGTTCTATCAGCATTTGTGACTCTGGTTTTGAGGTATGATATATCAAGAAAAAAGATAGCTATCATCCTTGCTTGAAGTGGTTAACAGTTTGTCAGAGGTCATGGTTATGTATACACACCACTCACGGTGATAGAGTATGTTAAGGAACATTCCAGAAGACAGTGACCAGATCATTTAGACAAAAGCTTCTTCAAGTGAGTTTCTATCCCCTGAATGTCTCAAGCTTTAAACAAATGGCCTTGTATTTTCTTAGGATGCGAATCTGGCTCCTCTTAGTCTGGATATATTTATTTGCTCTTTCTCCTTTGATGGAACCAATCTCCTGACCTTATCAGCTACTTGACCCAAATCTTCTTAGGATTCAATCCTGATGGCCCTGCCAGCCTCTTCACAGCACCAAATAAACAGAGCTGTGGGCCAAGGAATTAAAATTTCAAAGGTGCTAATTACTTGTTAGAGTCCTTTACTAGATCTTCAAGCCCAAGGATGTCTACTTATAAAACTGCACCAACGCAAGGAAGAGAGGCTCTTGGGCAATGAGAGGAAGAGCTAAGAGGTACAAGTGAAGATCTAGACAGTGAGTCAACACTCCATGAGAAACAGGGGGATCGAGGGTAGAGACAGCCAAATGAGGACCATTGTGAGAGGATTCTCCAAACATGGTTAGGGTTCAAGGACCATTCACCTACCACCATGCTTGGCTCTTAAAGCATTTTATTTAAATGTGTGTGTGTAGGTCATAACACAAATTATGAAGTCTTTCTGAGTTGGATTAGCCAGTAGCAAGCACCTTTTACATCGTGAAGCATCTTCCCATCCCCCTTCTCTGCTGTGTTAAGAACACATTGCATTGAGGCATAAAGATATCACTTGCTCTATTTCTGAAGAGGGAAATATTGCTTCTCTGAGCAGCTTCTGAAATTGCATTCCTAGGAGATGGATGATACTGTCTTCTGTTTCAGTGCTGACTCCATTTCCTGGTCCAGACGCTCAGAAATCTGTGCATGCGTTAGAGAACAGCATGAGGTCCATCTGTTCAGGTCAGATTTCCCCACATTAGCATGAAGATTTATGGGGTGGTAACTTATGTAAGAAAAGCCAATGGGAATGATAGCATATTCTTTGCTGCCATTTGGAATCTACGTTATATTTTTAGTTCATCATGAAAATACCATAGTATATACACAGGCATACACCGGATTCTTCCAAAAGCAGTAACAAAGGCATCTCCCTCGGTTTGTAGTCATTTACCTCTGTTTGGGTTTAAGCACTAGACACCATCCATTCATATTTTCCTGTAAAATGGTCTATTTATCCACAGCTTTCCACGCACAGATGGCACAGATAGACAAGAACTACGCTTGGCTTCTTGGTGACTCATCAGACTAAAATACACAGTCGTGATTTGTTTTTTCTTCTTTAGAAAGTAGATTAAACTTTTTTAGATTTTAAATAGATATTTACATAGAAAAATTAAAAATTTGTAAGTACATATGCATGCATATGAATTAGTATACACATGCATATTAATTATTCTATATAAATAGAACCCCCTACCCATGAGTATTCTTTAGATTTTCTTTCTTTCTTCCTTCCTTCCTTCCTTCCTTTCTTTCTTTCTTTCTTTCTTCCTTTTTTTTAGTGGAGGCACAGAATCTCATGTAGCTCAGGCAGGTGATGTGGGAGTGATTTCTTATTAATAAAGAAACTGCCTAGACCCATTTGATAGGCCAACCCTTAGGTAGGCGGAATAAACAGAATGGAATGCTGGGAGAAAGAAGCTGAGTCAGGGAGTCGCCATGATTCTCCCACTCCAGACAGCCGCAGGTTAAGATCATTCCTGGTAAGCCAGCTCGTGGGCTACACAGATTAATAGAAATGGGTTAGATCAATATGTAAAAGCTAGCCAATAAGAAACTGAAACTAATGGGTCAGGCAGTGTTTAAAAGAATACAGTTTCCGTGTAATTATTTTGGGTAAAGCTAGCCGGGTGGCGGGACACAGCCCGCCGCTCCGTACTACAACAGAGTGGTACCCAACGTGCTAATGAACTCCACGTAAAACCTGAGAGGGCTTAAAAAGGAGAGAGAGAGAATTTAAGACAGCTTTTTGCTGTTTATGGGTTGCGTGCCGCAAAGAAATTGTCCTGACTCAACAGCAGGAAAAAACTGGCTGTTTTAAAATGCCGGCTTTCTGGGCTGTGCCGCCATTACGATCTCTGTCTGGCTCCTGTGGGAGACAGAGCTTTTGAATGGAGCATTTGGAGTAAAGCTCTATGGCTTGCTTGATGGCAATGTGGACTGCTGTGTGCCTGGAACTGTGTGTGGCTCAGGGGCACCAAATGGCTCTGAGGCAGGAGCAGCTTGGCTCAGCTCTGCCATGCTGAACTGTGCTGGTCTCAGGCAGGAACTACCGTAATTACCATAAAAACAGCGCATTTAAGGTTTCAACTGGGCAGGACACAGGCGGTACCGTATTACCTGTACATGGTGCAACTTAAGTTTTTAAGAACTGCTTAACATTTTAAGAAATGCTCCTGGATAGTAAAAAAATGTTAGAGATTCACAATAAAACAGATTCAGACATAAAATACCACACTGTTGGATAAATGTACGTAGGCTTGAGAGAGTGAAAAAAAAAGAATATAGAGAATAAAGTTAATGGTTTAAAAAAAAAAGGTAAAGTCTTTAAAGAGACAGAGTACAGATAGTTAAGAGATTAAAAGAAATAAAGAAAAATAAGCCACGTAAAAATGGAAAATTCACAGAGAGTCTGGATTATGTACATTGTGCTTTCTTTAAAATTTTTGACTGTAAAGGAGCTAAGTACAGAGAGACATTTCATTACATGGGCTGCTAAGCTAAACCAAAATGGATATAAGGGTATTACGATTTCAAAATTTGGGTTTAAGAATATGATGCTTTGGAGAGGGTCTTCTTTTGTTTTCACAGAGGACCAAACCCTGTGGATTTCTTCTATTACAATTTGGTATGATAGACCACGCCCTCCTGAAAGGTTGTTGTGAACATCTTCAGAAAATTGCTTCGCTCAACTGCCAACTGAGATGAAACTAGCACACAGGTTATACCATGAAAGACCTAATTAACGACGCCCCCATTCAGCAGGAAGCAGTTTGGAGAGAAAAAACGGCGCCCATGTTCCCAAAATATTGTTTATAAATGTTCTTTTACATTTAAAGGGGGATATGATATAGGTATGAATAATTTGCATTGGTATGGATTTTAAGGTCAATTTTGTTATATGTATATGTATTTTTGATCTTGAATAAGGTGTGATTGTGTAGTTCATTTTTAAAATGTAATGTATAATAGAAAATATAGGTTGCTAATGGATAATCATCGATGATAGTAAAGTTTGTAGTCATGTTACTTAGATTTTCTAGATATATAGAGATATATTTCAGATAGGCATTCTTCATATCTCTCAAAGGCTACAGAATATGGCATTTAAAATATTTTAATAACTTAGGACTTTTCATGACAATGAGACATATCTGTTCCTGGTGGCACCAATCTACTTTGAGAGGAAGATGGGCATCGAAGAGGATCCTTATGGAGTTGGATAGCCATTTGGGCAAGAAACTGCTCTTGCCTGGACTGTTGCATAAAATGGACACAGAGAACCCGCAGAGAGAGGATTGCTGAACTTGCCTAAAGGTGAGACGGTCTTTTGGGGTTCATGACTCATGAAAGAGTCTGCGAGACATTCTGCAGGACACAGCAGATAGTGACTGAACTGTCTTTGAAATTTCCTGCTTCATGGAAATGTCTGCTGGATACTATGGGCCTGAAGGCTGAAGATGGATACCCCAACCGTACAAAAGAACTTTGGGTGACTGTCCAGGCAGCGAGATGTCTCTGTCATTTCTAGAGTTTTCTTATTTCTTGTTTACTTGGGTAGTATTATATCCTTCTGGAGTCTTTGATGGAGTTGAAGAATGAATAGTTATAGTTTTCCTTAGTTATGATAAAAGATAAAATAGATATAAATATTGTAACTGTAATTCTTGCTTGATAACTGTTTTGCTATATGTAATTTTACTATGTTAAAGTTAAAGCCTTTCTTTTTTGTTTAAACAGAAAAAGGGGAAATGATGTGGGAGTGATTTCTTATTAATAAAGAAACTGCCTAGACCCATTTGATAGGCCAACCCTTAGGTAGGCGGAATAAACAGAATGGAATGCTGGGAGAAAGAAGCTGAGTCAGGGAGTCGCCATGATTCTCCCACTCCAGACAGCCGCAGGTTAAGATCATTCCTGGTAAGCCAGCTCGTGGGCTACACAGATTAATAGAAATGGGTTAGATCAATATGTAAAAGCTAGCCAATAAGAAACTGAAACTAATGGGTCAGGCAGTGTTTAAAAGAATACAGTTTCCGTGTAATTATTTTGGGTAAAGCTAGCCGGGTGGCGGGACACAGCCCGCCGCTCCGTACTACAACAGGCAGGCTTCAAACTTTCTATGTAGTCAAGGATGGCACTTCACTCTCACCCTTTAGAGTGTTGTCATGTCTGGGTTATATGGTACCAAGCATCAAACCCATGGCATCCTACCTGCTGGGCAAATACTCTTTCCACTGAACTGCAATCCCATCCCATGAATACACTTTCATAAACTCTCCATTATATAAAGAGAGCCATGGTGACTACCCTTATGTGTGCATTTTATATCCCTTACTGATGATCTCCTTAGGTTCCATTATTG